AACATTCAGAATTTCTCTAACGAATGAGTTACCTAAACATCTAAAACTTTCAGAATTTCTCTAACGAATGAGTTACCTAAACATCTAGAACTTTCAGAATTTCTCTAACGAATGAGTTACCTAAACAACTAGAACTTTCAGAATTTCTCTAACGAATGAGTTACCTAAATAACTAGAACTTTTAGAATTTCTCTAACGAATGAGTTACCTAAACATCTAGAACTTTCAGAATTTCTCTAACGAATGAGTTACCTAAACATCTAGAACTTTCAGCTACACATTTACTTGACACATGAATTTTACAAATAATTTAGTTTCTGTGTAGTATAATGGTTTATGTGCATTTTGCTTTATCAGGTACTTAGTAGGTAAATTGTGGATCATATTTTTTCGTAATCTTACATTCACTCCTCCTAATATCTTTAAAGGTCCCAAATTTTCAAAAATCTAGAGTGGGGAACGAGTGATTAGGGTAGAATCAATAGTACAATAATGCAAAACTAAGCGTTTTAATATTTTTTTTATTAATGAAAATAATAAGTAGTTAATACAATACATATAGTAGTTTAATATGTACCTGTGTATTATATCTCGTCACTTAATTCACTCTTTCACTCATTTGAAAAAGAGGAGACGCACAAGAATCCATATTTATTAGGGGGGTGGATGGAAAAAAGTTTGAGAACAATTTATCTAGGTGATAAACACTTCCCCCTAATCTTTATCCTTCACTAACTTTACTGCAAATATTATGTCATCTGAAAGTTAAACTTTATACATTATTTCTTTTTAGATTCACTGACCTTTATCCAGTTTTGGTTTTACCATTTTAAATAATTCTTTACGCGTGATTGTAACGTTTATTTACTTTTTTTACATATCTCTAACTAACTGAAGTTAATAAGGTCATTTTCGTATTTTTTACTTTTTGCACTTTGTGGCCAAGTTACTATGACTATCTACTATCGTCCCTAATTTTGAACTACTGACCAGAGGAAATGCAGCCAGTTAACATCAACCTTCCACCCACTATCAATGCTAGTGGATTGATTATCTCTATTATAACCCACCCACAGCTTAAAGTAGTGAGGGGGAATATTTTGTAATATTGCATAGATTCGAAACCTGCTTCCCACCTACGTAATACAGAGCTCTACCACAAACACACATGCGCCAAATATTCTAAAGAGAATTTTAAAAAGTTAATTACAAATTTCCATGGCGTGATTTCTTTTATGAAGTAAATAAGTCTGAATACGAGAAATTCCAATAATTAGCAACTTGAACAAACAACGTAAAGTGTTTGATTATATAAAATTATAAAATAAAGTAAAAAGAACAATGAAATTATATCAAAGTGAGAGATTCCAGTTTGAAGTTATTTTCTTAAAGCGTACTTTCGCCAAGCATGAATCTTGTGAAGATATTTTAGTACGAAACTAAATTTGTATATATATATTTCAGTCTAAGGTAAGGTGGCTGATGGAAAACATCCGTACATTGATAGCAAGATGCAGGAATCAACGAGTTTCATTTTTGGAAGAATTTGAAGCTGGGAATATTGAATCTAACCCAGATGAAAAGAGAGGAACGAGCTGTTGGAAAGGGTACGTTGTTTCTAACCATACGATAGAATACTTAGCAGTTAATTGTTTTAATCATTATGGGGAAGTTATGGAACCTGTTGGGATTTGTTTTTCTGCAATCAGAAATAACACTGAATAGTTTTTGTTATTTTTAAACAAATTGTAATGGATAGATCACATTAATGATGATTATATTACTACTAATCAACTTACAACTATCACATATTGATTAGAAGTTCTTTAGTTAATGAAGACTTTAAGTAAGCGTTAAGTAGAGTAACTAAAGATATTGTGAGATATCGAACGAGAAATAGAATAAAAGAACAGTGAAAAAAGAAAGATGAGAAAACATTAGAAAAAGGGACAGGACTTTTGAGATTATAACTACTTGAAGTTTCGAAATACAAAATCATGCCCTGAATTATAAATAATATTATAAAAAGTGACAAAACAGGCTACGATAGAGATAGCTGATTCAATCAAAAGATAGGTTTTTCACCTTTGAAAGATAACACCATGAGTTGAAAAACAAAATATAGTTTATCTCTACATGCTAACCTAACATTTGACATGTAGTTTGGACCATTGATTCTCCAGCCTGAACATATCTTGTAGCTTCGTAGAAATATTTTTAGTTTATTCTGGCTAGCCTACATTGTGATACATATATTTACAAACCCACATTTGTAAATACTATATATTTACAGATCCAAGTTTTTAAGCACATGTTACAGTTTATTTACCGCCTCTACGTTTGCTTAATAATTTTTTGAAGTAAATATTAAATTATATGAACTGCTTTTGTTCTTTATATTAAGTACAGTTCAAAACTGGAAACCTTTTTATTTGCTATCAATAAAGCTTCATAATTATGATACGAAACATTTATTTTTTCCTTAACAACTCGTATCATGTACTTATTAATTGTGTTTTTGACTTTCAGGTATCACACTTTCACAATCGATCCATCAGGAAACTTCTACTATCGCTGGCTTTTTATTATTTCTTTTGCCGTACTCTACAACACCCTGTTTATCATTGGTCGAAGTGTTTTTTGGGAACTGCAGAATCATGCTCCCATATTGTGGTACGTCGTGGACTATCTTTGTGACGTTATTTATATAATCGATATGGTGATCCAAGCTCGTACAGGTAAGGCAAGAAACTGTTAGTTTGTGGCTATATGAAAAAATAGTTTGATTAAACTTCGAAAAAAATGCATCTTATTATAAAGATCTGTTCTTGTGTAGTCCACGAATAAACACCCATCAGCAATACTTGTGAATACAGTTAAGGAAGTTATGAGATTAACAAGCTATAAAACGTGTTTATTCCTAAGTAATTTTTAATACGAGAAATATTGATTTCACTAATAAAAATTTAATCACAACATTTATAATAATACACATACGAGATATCTCCTTAAGGATCTACAACTATTTTTTCTTCTTCCACAGGTTATTTGGAGCAAGGGCTTCTGGTTCGGGATTCTACAAAATTATTCCTTAACTACCTAAAGTCTCGTTATTTTAAAATCGATTTTGTAAGCCTCCTTCCAACAGATATTCTCTACATGATCCTAAAAACCTCTTGTTATATCAAAATACCTTGCTCTATTATTGTCCGCCTCAACAGGATCCTTAGGATTTACCGAATATTTGAATTCTTTGATCGAAGCGAAACGAGAACTAACTTTCCCTATGCTTTCAGAATTGGAAAACTAATTTTTTATATTCTAGTGATCATTCATTGGAATGCCTGCTTATTCTTTTCTGTTAGCTATTTTATTGGATTTGCAAACGACTCTTGGGTCTATCAAAACGTCAGTATTCCAGTGTACGCAACGTTGAGCTATCAGTATATATATTGTTTCTACTGGTCCACTCTTACCTTGACAACCATTGGTGAAGTTCCAGTTCCAGTAAAAGACTATGAATATCTTTTTATGGTCATTGTCTTTCTTATTGGAGTTTTGATTTTTGCTACAATTGTTGGAAACGTTGGGAGTATGATATCCAGCATGAATGCTGCTCGAGCAGAATTTCAAACTAAAATGGATAGTGTCAAACAGTATTTAGAGTTCAGAAAAGTAAATAAAGAACTTGAAAATAGAGTGATACAATGGTTTGATTATTTGTGGATGAATAAAGAATCACTGGATGAAGATAATATTATGTCTATTCTTCCGGACAAGTTAAAAGCAGAAATTGCACTCTATGTCCACCTTGATACTCTAAAACGTGTAAAACTTTTTCAAGACTGTGAAGCAGGTCTGCTGGGTCAGTTGGTCCTTAAGTTGAAGCTTCAGGTATTTAGTCCTGGTGACTACATTTGTCGTAAAGGAGACGTGGGAAAAGAAATGTACATTGTGAAAAGAGGGAAATTGGAGGTCGTCGCTGATGACGAAGAAACAGTTTTTGCCACATTAGAAGATGGTAGCGTTTTTGGGGAGTTAAGTATCATGAATATTTCAGGTATGAAAACTGGTAACCGACGGACAGCAAATGTAAGGAGTGTAGGTTACTCGGACTTGTTTGTTCTGTCGAAAGAAGATCTCTGGAATGTTCTTGAGGAATACCCAGAAGCTAAAAAGATGCTGGTTGAGCGTGGGCGACAAATACTAATGAAGGATGGTCTTCTAAGCAAGGAAGCCATCGAAGCAGCGAAGAAAGAAAAGGAAAAACTTCCTTATAAATCTTCTCGCCTTGAAGATGCGCTTAATAAGATGGAGAGACGGTTCACAGACTTTTTGAAAGAATACGCTGTGTCTCAGAGAGAAATTAAACAACTTACTACATACCTAGAGAATCTAGACTACGAGATGGATAATTAATACACTGTTTATCATAGTCGTTTTAACTTCAAATGTGATCAAAAAACGAGCACATGACACTGACATGTTTATTTACTTTATTTTTAAGTTGAAACCCGAAACATTCATTTATATAATGATTTAAGTGTCTAAATAAAGATGGGTGACACAAAATGAATTATTGTTTCTCTTAATACCATAACTCCGTCTAATCTATTACATTTATAACATTTAAAACAAGATGCCTTCAAATTCAATATGATACATTCTTTAAAAACACCTAGTAAAACATCCTGTCAATACTTTAACAAAAAAAAGTACCACGCTAACACAGTAGCTTGCATTCATAGACGCCATTAAGTTGTTCACTCGTTTTAATGTCTGAAAAAATATACAGGAATTAATTTTGTGTAAATAATACTCTACTCTTTCGAAACTGCTATATATATGTATAGATTTAGGAATTACAGACAGACGCGATTAAACAAAGTGATATATTAGAATAATTAGTCGGTAATTGAAGGTTATTTATAATTCATTAAGTGTAGGAACAGCATACGATGTATAATGAATGCTTCGCTTTACAATTTCACGCATGTTGACAGTGTTCATATACTTGGCTGGTTCATCATTCGCATATTTAGTAATATAAAACACTTTAACTCGTGCACATTGCATGTACTATAAAGAAACTGTTCTGTTGTTTTGGAGTTAGAATGTAGTTTAAGAGAAAAAGAGTCTTAGGGCATTCATCACCTTAGCTTGAGATGCATAACGATTAGTGGTAATTATGCAATATCGTAAACGTATTACCAAAAATAATGTTTTTGATAAGATTTTGTATGTTGTAATTCAGCCAAACTGATGAGCTCTGATATTAAAGAAAAGGCTTCGTAGACAACAGGGTAGAAAAATTACCGGAAACTTATAATGGACTATTAAAGAACGATTTAATTCAAATTATTCTCAGTTTCATTGTGATGAAATATTACACACATGTTGCAGCTAAGTTTTTCTTTAGTAAAAACTCGTATATGCAACTCTGTAGTCATGCAACTCGCAGCAACAATATATTACACACATGTTGCAGCTAAATTTTTATATTTAGTAAAAACTCGTATATACAACTCTGTAGTCAAGTAACTCGCAGCAACAATATATTACACACATGTTGCAGCTAAATTTTTATATTTAGTAAAAACTCGTATATACAACTCTGTAGTCATGCAACAATATACTCGTTCGCATCTTCTCAAGCATAACTTACATAACACTTTAGTAAACTACATATAACGAAACTGTAACATCAGATTACATCAAAGACTTCCGTGATAATCCAAAATATATTACTATAATTTAAACCAGAACGCTAGTTGATAGGTCTGGTCAAAAATTTGGAACAATGGAACAATTTCCTGCGAATAAAGTCGTGGATTTAGATTTTCCACACGTCGTAAAATCGATAAAACATTCTAAGTTAGTATTATATGATATTAATATGTTACCAAAAGAAACCCTTACTCAAGGTAAACACCCCGTAGTCTTCAATTTCTAATGATAACTGTATCAGCTGCTACTCTTTGCGTGACAACTTAAATGTTCTTTCTTTTGTGTATACTTAATGTTGCATTAGTTGAATTCGGTCGTGAGAGTTGAGCTGCTGTTAAATCCTGCTAATGTGTACTATACTTACTCGACCTTCTCTGTCTTCGTGGGCTATTGATTTGATGAGTGTGATCACTTTTCGTCGTTTCTCAAATAGGCACGCAACAGACCAAGTTTAGACCTCCACAGGTTAGTCTTCTGCACGTGATGATCTCGTTAAAGAGGGGGAAAACCATTTTAAAGTTTCTGTAAGTTGGAATTTGCAAAGTATTATTCTGGCTGTCGGACTTATCTGTTTAATGCGTAGTTTTTATTATTAGGTATGACGCTACGTTGAAAACTTAAATAGTTTGATATAAGATTTCCTGTAAAATTTCATCACAATTTACAATAAATATACAGAGAGAAAAAGAGAGAGAGAGATTTAAAAAGTTTCCAGTCTAAAATTGGATCATTTTTTATTTGGTAAATCTGCAATACAAGAATAATCTCATAAAACCCCTTTTTTAATATATATCTGTTTTGACAATGTGTTGTTAACGAAAACTGTCTAATCCTAACAAGACTCTTTATCCTAACTCTTTATTAAAGATTCATAAAGAATGAAGCCTAATTTGTCAAAAAATCATCTTATATCAGCCTAGACACGAACCCAAAAATACTAATACTGAAAAGAGCTTCAGTAGTTGTCTAGTTGAACTTTTTCTTATATTTAATGGTATCATAAGTTAGTGGAATAACCAGGATTGGGGAGGATTTGATAGTAGACAAACACCCTGTTGCAGAAGGGCTGGAGAGTAGAATAAGTGTTTACCTTTTTAATAGAATAACAGTGAACAATATTTTTAACTATTAAATTTTGCATTTTATTGGATGTGAACAGTGAATGGAAAACAATGCAACTCTCAGCCGAAATAGTGATGAGTATTGATTTGATTGTTTGTTTGTTTGTAATTAAGCACAAAGCTACACAATGGGCTATCTGTGCTCTGCCCACCACAGATATCGAAACCCGGATTCTAGCGTTGTAAATCCGCAGACATACCGCTATGCCACTGGAGGGGGGGGGGTGTATTGATTTCATTTTTTTTTAAATCGTGTTTGAACAAATATCAGTAGCCATTCCGGAGATAGAGTGACACTACCTCCTTTTCAAACCCCTCCACAGTCACGCTAGTGTTTACTTTAACATTTTGATACATGAGAGTGTCGTACTCATAGAAGATCGCAGCCTTGTGAGTAGCGTGCCGGATTGTGGATCTGCTGATCCATCGTTCTCGCCCCATTACCACACAAAAAAAAACCACTCTCCATTTTGATGGCCATGGTTATGTTAATGTAACGGTTAATCCCCCATGTTTGTTGGTACAGAGTAGACCAAGAGTTAGCGTTGTGTGGGGTATTGACCAGTTGCTTTTCATCTAGTCTATCAGCTCAAAATTAAGGAAGGCTATTTTATGGACGAATATCCAAAAATAAACTTAGAGTGATCCCTCTTATCAACAGCCACAGAGAAAAGGAAATTTTTATTTATTGATTTGAGGCGTTGGAAAAAACATTTATGTCATTATTCTGTTAGTCTATTTTATGAAAACACATTTTATGGCGACTGCCGTTTTGTAATAAATTTAAACTGAGGGTACATCGCTTACTTTAAGTACAAAGATTAAGATACCAAACATATACGAATAAAAATATCATTGCAACGATTTATCTAAAATAAATAATAATTTTCTTTCCAGTGTTATTCATGACTTATAAAATATAGAAATGTTGTAATCAGTTTACAAAAGAGTTATATATGTATGTGTATATATAATATATATATCAACATAGTTCGAAGAGAAAAACCGTATTATAAAAATGTATTAACAAAATGTTGTTTGTTTACACTACTAAAAATTAGAATAATTCGCAAGACAAAAAATAAAGCTGCTAGAG